CACAGAAAGTGACTCTAAGAAGGAAATATATACATACCACTGAGCTCTCACATCAAGAAATCAGAACAAGCACAAATAATGCTGCACTTCAAGTTTCTAGAAAAAGAAGAGTAAGTCAAAACTAAAGTTCAAAGAAGGGAGGAAATCATAAAGATCAAAGCAGAAATACACGCAATTAAGACTAAGAAAACATACAAAGAATGAATTGAGGAGTTGGTTCATTGGAAGGATAAAATTGGTAAGCCCCTAGCCAACTTTGTCAAGAAAAAGAAAGAAAAACTCAAATTCATGAAATGAGGAATGAAAAGGGTGAAATTACTACAGATTTTGTGGAAATTCAGATGATCGTCATAACTATTTTAAAAATCTTTACCTGCATAGGATGGAAAACACAGAAGAAATGAACAGAAAGGTATGGCCACTGCTGAGTCAAGAAAATATAAAAATTTTGAATAACTCAATATCAGTTACAGGAAGTGAAAAACTAATTAAAAACTTACCAACAAAGAATAGCCCAGGTGATGATGGATCCACAGCTGAATTCTACAAGAAATTTAGAGAAAATTTAATGCTAATGACCTAAAACTCTTTAACGAAATTTAAGGAAAAGTAATTCTCTGTAACTCATTCCTGGAGGTAAGTATTACTCTGATACCAAGGCCAGAGAAATACTCAACCAAAAAGAAAAAGGCCAGTCTCCCTAATGAACATAAATGCAAAAATTCTCAATAAAATACTACAAACAGAATACAGCAAATCATCAACAAGATTATACACCATGACCAAGTGAGATTTATCCCAGGCATTCAGGGATGATTCACCTTGTGCAAATCAATAAATGTAATGCACTACATCAACAGAGACAAATACAAAAATCACATGACCATCCCAATAGATGCAAAAAGGGCTTTTGATAAAGTACAACACTCACTCATGATAAGCACAAGTGGGTCTCTGTGGGGATGGGAAGGTGCACCTGGGGAGGAAGCGCTCATGCCTTGGGGAGGCAAAGAGGACCTGGGTAGATCTCTCTGTGTGCTAAGTGCTGGAAGTGCACAAGCACACAAGGGGTCTGAGGATCTAACTCCAGAAGGTTTTGTTTTCTGTGTCGCATCACCTGTGCCCTTGTTACCTTGGAGACATTCCTGTCTGCTTTTGTATAGCCAAGAAGACTGGTATTGGTTTTAATTCTATACCAGACATGAAGGTAGGGATTTGTGTGTCCCCTTGCCTCCTCCCTCATGCTCAGGTCTCTGCAGAGTGGTGGTTCTCAGTGGCTATGCACTGTGTCACTGTTTGAGTCTGAGTTTGTTGGTGTAGGAAGAAGTTAGACATTACACATTCATTAAGCTGGGACTGGGTACCACTGTTGTAGAGACATCCTGTCACCTTTTAGGTTTGGATCTCAGGCTAAACCAAGGGGTAAGTGACTTTGTTTGCAGGGCTAAGTAGGAAAGAAAGCACTTTTAAAATTCACTTCTGTCCATAAACAATCAGAGGAACTAGTAAAGGTTATTGAGGAAGTGGGGAAAAGGATTCTCTTGTGATGAGATGGTCACAGCCACAAACCATGTCACCAATGTGACATCAATCATTCAGCCACATCAGGATCCAAAAGCTCTTCTAACAGAATGTGTTTTATGATGACAGCATATTGAACAATCTTGCAGAGACTGCGGAAAAAGGATTCAGAAGAGTGTGCTTTTCTGCACTGGCCAAGGAATTCACCTGTCTCTTTTGGGGTGAACCTGGGTTGGAAGTCACTGTCATGTATTGCCAAAGGGGCCAGTTATGGGAGTGGCATCCACATCTTGACTCCTAAACTTGAAATCTTGGAAGTAAGCTGCACGATTGAATATTGAGAATAATCAACAGATGTGCATCACCTAGAGTGGCCCTTGTCTGCTAGATTTGACAACACGGAGTTCTATGGCTAAAGTGGTGACTTCTAGGATGGTGATTAACTATTAGCTTTTAAATTTGTGAATATTATCCTAGAGGGTAGTGCTAAAGGAGATCCAAGGAATTCATAGCACGATACAGAATAGTGATCGTCTTAACTCAAAATTAATAGAAGTATGTTTGTCTTAGTTACTTTTTACTCATCGCTGAGACAAAATACCTGATGACCAAAGTTGGGAAAGGAAAGGTTTATTTCTTACAGTTTTTGGAGGTTTCAGTCCATACTCAGTTGGCTCCAAGGCAGGGTGGCAGTTCATGGAGGCTGCAAACAGCAAGGCAGAAACTGGCAAGAGAGCGGGACACACCTTCTTCCTGCCATTACATTGTATGCTGGCTCCACCCCTAGGTGAGTATAGCACTGATGCCATCAATCCAAGCCTTAGACAATGAACCAATCACAAATGCACAATGCAAATACATGAGGCTGGGGGAAACCAACATAAACCATGACAATGTTCCTTATGCTCTTAGCTTTAATCATTAAGACACCAAAGTTAACCCCATTCTGAGCCCTGTAATGAACATAAACTTCTGGTTCAGGCTCCTTTGAGTTGCTGGCCAAAGTTTATTTACTTGCTTGAGACATTAAAAATACAGTCTCTTAGATCAAACCATCAAGTGACTTAGCTGAAAACAAGTATTTCACTCAGGTGCAATACTGGGATCCTTGTATTTAGCCCGACAGTGATAGAACTGCCATCTAGAGATTTGGAGCTGTCCCCTCTCTATGACTGTAGGTGCAGGGATGCATTACTCTTAAATAATATGTCTTCCCTTGAAGGTCTGTCTTACTTCTCAAGAACAATCTTTAAGATGCCGTGTCACTGGAACATTGGTTCAGGTACTGAGGATGACAGGAACCTAGAGAAGGGAGGTGAGTTTCCTGGAGGAGGCACTGTGCTTCCCAAGCCTCAATGAGTGAATAGGAGTCAGCCAGTGAGAGCATTCACTTCATCAGAAGGCGGAGAAAGCAATGACGCAAAGCACAGGGAAGGCTGGAGCCCTGGGGCCCTGCCTCCTGCATGAATCTGGATGCAGGAAGCATGCTGTCAGCCAGGCCTCCAGTGCTCTCAGGCTTCCCACCAGTCCTCACACCACCCCAAACCCCTGTTGAACTTGGTATCACTGGAGCATCAGTGCCTTCTAAGGATCAAAGTGTCCTCTTCTCCACCGCTTCATCCACACCTGACATCTGGCAAGTGATTCCTCTTTAGCCTATCAATGACCTTTCCACCTGCTTCCAATGGCCACAAACGTTGGGAAATCTGCCTTCCAGAAGGGAGGGTGGTTCTCACCCTCTTTCTCTCTCTCCCGCTCTGTCTTTTTTTCTTTTAGCCCCTGGGGCTGAGTTTCCACTTTTTTCCCCTCTGCTTTCATTTTAGTGAGCTCTTTGCTGGGGGCTGAATAAAGGACATGAGAATAACATTTCACTTTTGAAAAAGAGATTCAGGTGTATGCTGAGGTACTTCAATGTTTCTTTCTGAAATCTTTCTTTAAGATTAGAAAGGGAAAAGAACCCTCTAGCTTAAAAGTATTCCCTAATACTACAAAATGCTTTAATATCATAAAGATCTTGAACATACATAGAGATGCCATCCTTTAATTTCCCAACATGCCAGTCTGTAACCTAATGTTATTCATATTTTATACCATCTCATTTCCAAAATGCCCACATAAAAGAACTACATTTGATCAAGCTAGCTCATGTTAACAAATGCTGTCTCTCATAAACTCAATTCCTCAGAGAGCATCTTATTAGTTCATATTTCATTTCTGTCCCTTTCTCTAGGAGTTCTGCATGGGAACTGCTGCTCCTGTGATGTCTGTCCCTTTGAGCCCTTTGTACGCTGTGGGGAGGAAGATGATAAAATGAGACCAGAAAAAGCGAGTCTGCATAGAACCAGAACTTGGTTAGGCATTGAACAAATTTAGTTAACTCAATATTCTATCATCTTTATATTTTGTAAACAGCCACCTCCAAATTTCTTCAATTTATTCTAGGATTTGAGCCTAAATTTGCTATTTTCAAAATTGATGACTGTGACAGAGCATTTTCAACATTCTTTATCCTTTTCATCCTGCTGTGAGTAGTTCCTCTCCTTGATAAGGAGCCCTTTCATCTTCTACAAGTGCTTATCAGCAGGGAACAGGACCAGAGAAAGACAAATTAAAAGATGAATTATTTTGTCTAATGTCCAATGACAAATCCGTGACTGAGAGAACAGTAGATCTCACCGCCCTCCCACTCTATCTCCTAGAGATAAGTAGAAATCTGTTGGCCTATAGCAATGAGGGGTTTGGAGAGTCTACTTAACTGCCACAGCCTAAGAAAGTGATCTTATCTTTAAATTGGTTCTAGTTGACAAATAATAGTTGTGCATATTGAAGGGATACAGTGTGATAATTCAGGACGTGTATACATTGTGTAATGATCAGTGAGGGCACTGGCACTTTCATCTCTAGAAACACGCATCATTTCTTCATATTGGGTATCTCTAACTCCTCCCTTCCAGTTCTTTATAAAATACATAGTAAATTGTTGTTAACTCTAGTGCCCCTACTGGGCTGTGAAACCCTGAACTTATTCCTCCTATTTCTTTGGTAACCCACCAACTCCTCCTTCCTCTAGTGAGCTCTGCTCTACTCTCTGCCTCTTTGAAATGAACTTTTTAAGGTTTCACATGTGAGGGAAAAATATGTTTGTCTTTGTATATCTGGCTTATATCACCTAATGTAATGTTTTCTGGCTCAGCCTGGCAGCAGATTCTTTTTTATGGCTAACTGATCTTCCACGCTGTACAGATGGTGCTGAGTGGTTTCTCTATTGAATGAATAGAGAGAGACCCTGGTTAATTTCACATTGGCTATCAGTTTACCTTTGAAATCTCACAAACTCATGGCTACATTTAATGTCTTTAGCTACATTTAATGTTTTAGCTACATTTAATGTTTTTTGGGCAACTGGCTTATATTGTTGAGGACACTGAGAAACAGACTTAAGCACATTCCTCTCTCTCTCTCATTTTCACTTCTAGCAGAAGGCAACCACAAAGAAATACTCGCAGTTCAGTGCTGATGTGGCCGACGCCATTGCCTTCTTCGATTCCATCATTGCTGAGCTGGAGACAGAGAGATGGCCGCGGGCTGCCGAGGTTGAGCCGCTCAATGAAGATGTGGACTTCGATGGTGAGTACTGAGGAGAGGCCTGGGCCCGCGTGGACACTTCTCAGGATCGTGCTTCCTCGGCCCCTGTGCTTGCTCTTTGGGATCTCTTGCTTGAGTTACCCTGGCGTCCTGCTTCAGTCTATGCTCCAATGTTGGGGGGGGGGTCTTGTTTGAATAAAAGCTTTCCCTGTGGCCCTTTTATGAAAGCTGAAATGGGGTGGAAGTTTCCTAAGACTCCACAGGGGAAGGAGCCAGAGAGGCGATTAAAAAAAGAGAACTGAAGGTGGGTGGTGCATATGTGCCATGGAAAAGTCAGAGAGATTGCTTATGTGAATATACCTAATGGTATCTAATGGCACACTTAAAAATCATTAGCATGGTACATTTTATGTTCTCCCTTTTTCACCTTTTTTTTTTTTTTTTAAGAAAAGAGAAGGAACAGACAGGCTGTATTTAAAAATCCAGTTCTGACCCTCCCTCTGTGAAGCAGGCAGTGTTGGCTGGGCAAGAGGCCGGGTGCCTGCCCAGGCCGGGTGGATGCCTGCGGAGGAGGGGAGGGGAGGACGGGAGGGCTGAGTCTTGCTTCTCTCCTTCTTCGGGGTCATCTCTGGTGCCTTGCTTGTGAGAAGGAAAGACTCCCACCGTGGTCATGAGTTGAGTCCACTTTTAAATTCCAAGTTTGTCAGCTTCTTTCATCACTAGCCCCCAACTCCTTGATGCAATTCTTTGTTTTTTTATTTTAAAAAGAAGAAACAATAAGAATCATGATACAGATTTTCAAAAAAAATATTATGAAATTAACTATGGTTATTTTTGCATATTGTTATTGTCAAAGTAGTTGCTCAGATTACAAGACATCGGCATAAAAATTGATCAAACAGTGAAAGCATAAACCATTCATTTGATGAATTAATAGAGGTTAGTAGTATAATGTGATAGATAATTATCATATCTATCATCTCTTTTCCCTTCTTTTTTTCCCCCTTTCCCTCACCCCAGTTCTTTCCTCTTGAGAACTTTCTTTTCCTTTCCCTTTCACACTATCTATTGTACATTTTTGTTCTTATTTACTCTTTCAGGTTTTTTTTTACATTACAGAGACAATATGATATTTACACATGTGAGTCTGATTTATTTCACGCAAATTAAGCAATAGAGCTGGATATAAAGTCAACACTTGAAAATCAATAGCATTCCTGTACCCAAACAACAAACTCATAGAGAGAAATTAGGGAAATAATTTTTCAATGGTGGTCTCAAGGTATACCCAATTACCTATAAAAACCTCAAGTTTATCTTTCTTTATAGCTGAGTAATACTCCATTGTATAAAACTACCACATTTTTTATCCATCCCGTGGTTGATGGGCATTTGGGTAGTTTCCAAGATACAGCTATTACAAATTGTGCTGCTTCAAACATGGGTACATATCTCTGTGATATGATGTTTTCAATTCTTGGAAAATATTCAGAAGGCAAACAGCTGGATTGAATGGGATCTCCAATCTTCAATTTTTGAGGGATCTCCACACTGATTTCCACAGTGCCTGTATCAGTCTACATTCCTGTCAACAGTGGAAGAGGGTTCCTTTTCCCCCAGAGCCCCTACAATATTTGTTACTGGTTGATTTCTTGATCTTGACCATTCTTTCTGGAGTGAGACGGAATCTCAGTGTTGTTTTAACTTGCATTTCTCAAATGATCAGCGATGTTGAATGCTTTTTCTTGTATTTACTTGCCATTTGTATTTCTTCATCTGAGAAGTGCATATTCATCTCAGATGCCCAATTTTGGGTTGGGTTTTTTAATTTTGGGGGCCTGTTTTATTCAATTATTTATATGTTCTGGATAAAGTCCTTTGTCTGAGGGATGGTTGGGTAAAATGTTTTCCCATTCTGTGGGTTGTCTTTTCATTCTGTTGGTGATTTGTTTTGGTGTGCAAAATCTTGTTTCTCTAATAAGATGAGCTCCCAGTTTTTGATTCTTTGAAGTAGTTCCCATGTCACTTTAAGCTTTGTTCATGAACTCTGCCTACCACTATGTCTTCAAGATTTCTACCTTTTTTCCCTTCTAGCAGGTTTTACTATTTAGTCCCATTTTGTTTCTATTTTACCATTTAGTCCCATTTTGGCTTTAGTTTAAAGCCATGGTGATAGACAAGAGTCTAGCTTTAGTCTTGGGCATGTGGAGAGCCAGTTTTTCCAGCACCATTTATTAAAGAAGCTATCTTTCTTCCACTGAATATGTCAGGCCATTTTGTCAAAGATAAGGTGGCTGTGTATGTTTGTAGTTGTGTCTGCATCTTCTAATCTGTTTCACTCAGGTCCATTTTTGCCAGCACCATGCTGATTTTATCACAGTAGCTTTGTATTATGATTTCAAGTCAGGGATTGTGATGCTTCCTGCCTTGCCTTTGTTGCCGAGAATTACTGTTGCGGTTCTAGGTTTCTTGCATTTCCAAATGAATTTTAGGAATATGTTCTCTAGCTCTGTGTAGTATGTTAATGGTATTTTGATTGGGATTGCATTAAATTTGTTTTGGGTTGCATTAAAACAGTTTTGGAGTATGACCATTTTCACAATGTTGGTTCTTTCTATCCATGATCAATGGATATCTTTCCATTTTGTGATACCCTCTTTAATCTCCTTTTTCAGAGTTCTATAGTTTTCAATGTATATATCTATTACATTATTTCTAAGATTTATGCCTAAGTATTTCATTTTTTTGGATGCTATTCTGAAAGGTATTATTTCCCTAATTTCTGTGAGTTTGTTGTTTGGGTACAGGAATGCTATTGATTTTCAAGTGCTGACTTTATATCCAGCTATATTGCTTAATTTGCATATTAAACCTAGTCCTTTTTGACAAATGCAGCTTTTGAGGTCTCCTATGTAGAGTATCATGTCATCTGTGAATAATGATAATTTAACTCATTCCTTTCCTATCCTTAATCCTTTTATTTCTCTCTCTTGTATAATTCTCTGGCTAATGTTTTGAGAACAGTATTGAATAAGAGTAGTGATAATGACAACCTTGTCTTGTTCCTGACTTTAGAGTGAAAGCTTTCAGTTTTTGTCCATTTAGTATAATGTGGGTTGTTAGTTTGTCATAGATGGCTTTTATCTGCTTGAGGCAGAGACCCATTTGTTCCAATTCTCTGTAGGGTTTTTGTCCTAAATGAGTGTTGGCCCATGGTGCAATTTAGTGGTGATTTCATCCAGGAGTTCAGGAGATTGTGATTACTAAAGTAACAGGTTTCAGTACCAAGAGTAAATAATTCTTGAGAGTTCTATGTAATGCTGAAAAGACGACATGCTTATAGCTTCTTGTTCTGGCCTTGATAGATGTGTAGCTGTGAGATCTGGGTTTTCAGATCTGGTTTTGCACAACTGCATAGGTTATTCCTGTTCCCCGAGCTCAGCTCATTCCCCCATGAATCTACTGCCTGCTTCCCTCTCCCATGCAGCCCTTTCAGTCCCTGACCCAAAGTAATCACCCTAAGATTGGGGCCTGGGAAAGCCATGGTATGAGTGAAAGAATGGCAAAATGTACTAGGGATGGAAGGGTCATTGCACAGCTATAATCTGATGAGAATACTTGTCATAGAATGGTCATTTTTTTCTGAAAAAGCATAATAATCTATGTTCATTGCAACAAAGAGCATTCTAAAGTATAAAGAAGACAGTAAGAACATATGATCCTGTCACTCAGAGAAAACCATCAGTGCATAACCTTTCAAAGTGTGTTAAACACACGAGAACACACACTTTATTTTGTTAAAAGAAACAGAATCTCTTTTTGGTTACACAGTGTGATACATCTTGGGTGTCTTTTCAATTCAATAAAAAAAAAAACAATTCTTAGTACTTTCTGGATTGAACCTGGGAACAGTCTACCGCTAAGCTGCCGCCAGCCTTATTTTATTTTTAATTTTGAGACAAGATCTTGAACTAGTGATTTCCCTGCCTCAGGCTCCAGAATGGTTAGGATTACAGATGGGCACCACCATGCTGTGCTCTGTTCTCATTTTCAACAAACTGTTTCATTCTACCCTGCACTATAACTTCGGAGGCAGAGTCTCCTTGCTTGGCCACCCAGGCTTTTCTAGGAATTCACTGTTGTAAACCAAATTGTCTCTAAGTGCTGTGAGCGCTCAGCCCGTCTGCCCTCTCCTTTGCCTTCTGTTTCTCCTGATGACACAATCTTCCTTCCCATGTCACCTGCCTCTCTCTTCCAGTGACCACCAGCTCCCGGGAGCACAGCCTGCACTCCAACTGGATCTTGCGTGCTCCACGCAGACACTCTGAGGACATCGCAGTGCATGCTGCACACACCCCAGACAGCCAGTTTCGGAGGAGCACAGAGCTAAGGACCATCGGCACCCAGAGGAGGCTTGAGAGACACCCCATTTACTTGCCCAAGGCTGTGGAAGGGGCATTCAACACTCTGAAATTTAAGCCCAAACCCCACAAAAAAGAGTGAGTACTGTGAGGGACTAAAAGTGTAACTGCGATGTTTTCATAGCTTCCAGACTCCTGGGGTGGTCCTTAAGATGCACTGAATCCCCATCCTACATGTCAAGATTATTTGATGTGGGAGAGGATATAGTTCAATTTTTTGTTGTTGTTGTTGTAATCTATACCCTAGCCTGACCGACTGCTGCTACTGCTTGAGTCTTGCTTCAGCCTTGTAGCTGTTTCCCTTCTTCCCTAGTCCACTTAAGCTCTCATGCTTTGGGCCATCTGCTGTCATCAAGGGACACTGACAAACAATGTACCACAGGTTTTTTTGTTTTGTTTTTGTCTTTTTTGAGATAGGGTCTCACTGTGTAGTTCAGGCTGACCTTGAGCTCACTTTGTAGCCCAGGCTGGTTTTGAACACACAACAATCCTCCCCCCCTCAGCTTCCCAATGCTACGGGTTTTTAATGAGAATTTGGGATTGAATAGAGCAAGAAATAAGCAACACTAAATTAATGAGACACAGCCATTGGATCACCTTGCCAGTATTTCCAGTGGCCTCTCCTTCCAGATCCTCTTCTCCCAGAACTAGTCACAGTCACTAAGTCCTATGCTTCTGTGCTTTACATGTGCAGGGCAGGAAGTTGGCCTGTCCTGCACAACAGAAAGCTTTTGGAGACTCACTCAGACTTTTTCTTTGATTCTGCAAAAGCCACTCAGCTATGATGGAGTCAGGGATTCCTAGCTAGTGTTTTCCTCTTACAATAATAAATCAAGCACCAGACATAGTAAAACTGTGACTCAGTTCTTGCCAACTATCCTTCTCCACCAAGCCAGGCTAATGCCCACTTGTGGTCCATCCACAGCCCTTATGATAACAGTTTGGTCCTCCCCAAGGCCCAGGCTGTGCTGCACAGGCATGGTAGCAATGCAGCCATCCCTTCCTCTGAGCTGCTGGCCAATCTGAACTTGTACCTTCTGCTTCATTCCCTCCTTCCTTCCAGGCTGGGGAGTTCCAGACAGGTCCTTTTCAACTTCTCAGGAGAAGACATGGAATGGGATGCAGAGCTCTTTGCACTGGAGCCCCTGGCATCTCCGGGAGAGGACTACTGTGAGACAGAGAACCCCAAAGGACAGTGGCTGCTTCAAGAGAGACTCTGGGAGCGGACAGTGCCCTGACTCCATTCCTTGGCTGGTCTCAGACCACTCCCTGAGAACATATCTGCTGTCAGTGCGGCAGGAGGCATTTGATAGAGTTAAAAATGGAAATCGCAACACAGTGAACCTCCTTTGCTCACTGGCTATTGGTGCCCAGCTAGTGCCAAACACAACCGTGGCTTCCCAGGAGACCTGCCTTGGGAGACCTGGCACTGGGTTTCCCTGTGTGGTGGGTGGGTAAGCAGGGAGGCAGAGCCCCTGTGTGTGCCCATGTAATGCTCAGTACAAGGAAGGAACCCAGCCAAAGTTTCCAAAGAGGTAGCTCTTATTCCCATAGGGCTAAGAGATTCTGTGGTGGCTTCATTTTATGCAGAATGCACACCTTTTTTGTCCAAGGTGTCCTCAAAGTTTTCCAGAAACTTCTGTAGGATTAGGCTGAAGACTGAGTCAAAGCCCCAGCAGTTGGGTGTGTGCTGAGGCTTTGCCACAGGCTGTGCCCTCCAGCCCCAAAGCTCTGCTCTACTTCCTGAGAGCAATTTGCTAAAGTTTTGATTTTTTCCTTTTCCTTTTCTTTTCTAATTCTCACCCAGTGAATCTTCATAAGTATCTATGCAACCAGTTTGTGACCGGCTATGCATACATTCCTTGTCCCTACTTAAGAAGGGGACCAGAACCATAAAGATTTTTGGGTCCAGAAAAGATTTCTATATTTGAGAAATTGTCTGAATCAGAATTCTATTTGAAATATATTCTTTGAATTTTCTGAATATTTGCATGAAGTTTTCCCAGTCAGGGTTGAGAACCATTGGTTTGGAGAACACTGCATTTTGTCCATTCTCCTTATTTCTTCTGGTTTTTTTTTTTTTTTTTTTTTTTTTTTTTTTGGTGCGGGGGTGTGTGGGACAGGCTTTCACTATGTAGTTCAGGCTGGCCTTGAACTCACTATGTAGTCCAGGCTGGCCTTGAACTCACAGCAGTCCTCCTACCTCGACCTGCTGAGTGCTGAGATTACAGATGTGGATTACCACTCCTAGCTTCCATTCTGCTTATTCTTCTTCTGGTATATTATTGTAGGCAGCCATCTTAGGGGCATGCATTGGCGTGGATGAGGGTGACAGAGGGGATAGATAAGGAGAAGTCAGTCATTCAAACCAGCCAAGGATGCTCCAAGCCAAGGTCTCTGTGAAAACTGAATAAAAGCTTTGCTTCTGCCGGGGCCATGTGATGATATTCCTAGTGTTCAGTTTTTTTTTTTTTTTTTTTTTTTTTTTAAGAAAAAACGCTTTTATTTATAGGAGCCTGATTATTTAATTCTAAGTGTTTTTAACTCCTAAGGGGGAGGAGGTGAAGCCACACCAAAACAGAACTAATAATTCTGTACCATCCTTAGAAACTTTATATCAACACATTTCTGGAATGAAAGCATAGAAATATTTTGATACTTCTCTTTATTATTTTTGGAGTGCCAATGTCAATGACAGAGAATTCATTCATTGTATTGCTTGTGCTTACCCAATCAGAGAAGATATTTGAAGTCCATTTTTATTATTAAAAAAAGCAATTGTTGCTTATGGGACTTGAAACTGCTTTTCCATTTTGCTTCATATTTTATATATTGTCTTCTTTGATAAGACTGTACACAGCATGCCTAAAAAATTCTACGGTTTAGAAACAAGGCTGGTTTGTCTTTTGCGATGATTTTTGTGTCTTTGAAGTTGCTGATACACTCTAGGGTCTGGATTTCTCCTGAGGAATCTGAGCTAGGATCTTGTGGGTTTGAGATAAATCAAATCTGAAACAATAAAAGCCAATTTGGAAAAGCAAGCTGATTTGACTGATTCTTGTTCCTCTTGAGTTGATTCATTGCTCAGACTCAGTTGGCTGTTAGGGAACTACCTTAGCAACTCTAGCTTTTCCCAGTCTGTCTCAGTTTGGATACATGAAAATCTACCTAGCTTTGGACAGAATGCCAATGAAAGATGCGATCCTCTGGCACCTGGCTTCTTCCTTAGCCGGTGGTGTCTTGCTCCCACCACAAAGTCTTCTTTTTCATACAGGGAGATACATGAGAACCATCAGTCTGATTTAAATAGTGTGTATTTATCCCTTTGCTTGGTTGCAACGCAACTGAAACATGGCTGCCGGGACAGAGCTTTCTGGTGCCCATTCAGACACAGTGTCCCGGGTGATTCCAACAAGAGGCTGTGTCCCTCTCTTTTCTGGCTGCCTTTTCATAGTGGGCTAGTTCCCTATTGTTACTGTAATAAATTGCCATGTATTTATAACTTAAAATCTCACAAGTTTATTGTCTTCTTCTGGAAGTCAGAAGAACCAAAATTAGCCATACTGGTATTATAGATAGGTAAATTACAGAGAAATTAATATACAGTTAGAGGGTTACTGGACTCTCAAGGAGGTCAGTAAAAATACAAATATCAGAATTATGCCTGGAGGTGAATTTGATGAAGAAGATAAAGTTACTATGACCTGATTTACATACTTTCCCCCAAGGGATAAGCAGAATTTAAGATCACACTATACTGTAATTTGTACCACCTAGTCCATTAAGTCCAGAAATGCATCAGACAACCAGATAGGTGACCAGAACACCTACAGCCATCCCTTCTCAAAATGTTTGTATTTTAGAAGTCATAAACAAGCCAAGGTTAATGATGTCAGTTGTATGCCCCTGCTACCTGTCCCATTTCCTTATTGGATCAATATTAGCTAACTGGCTATACTTGTAATCTTTTTGGTTGATTATAGTTTGACCTATGTTGTGCCCACATTTGTGACTTTGTTGTATAAATTACCCCTGACAGGGGCCTGGTTGGCAACCCACTTATGGGACACTTCCTGTTTCTCAGGAGCTGTCTCTCAATAAATCTTTCCTACTCTTAAACTCCTTTGTCTTTTGGAATTGATTATTCAATTTCAAGGGACACAAATTTGGCAATCTGACATCTAGCAGATTGGGAGGTGTATTTATCCTATACCTCTTTCTTTTTTTAAAATGGGTACCAGGGATGGAACTCACAACTGCCTGCTTGCAAGGCAGGTGCTTATGCCGCTGAGCTAAACCTCCAGCCCCTATTTCTCCTATATCACTGGGGTAAATTGAAATGTTGGCAGGGGCGGATCCATTCTGGAGGCTGTACAAAGGCTACATCTGTCTTCTTGCCTTTTCCAGGTATAGGCAGCTGCCTACATTCCTTGGCTGGTGACCTTTCTTGACATCACTCCAGTCTCTAGCATCTATACTCATATCTATTCTCATATACTCATATCTTCCACTCTAATCTCCTTCCTTTCTCTTGTAAGGACCCTTGTGATTGTCAGTCTCACTTGGATAATCCAGGACATCCTCCCCATATTGAGATCCTTCATTCAATAATATCTGCAAAATCCCTTTACCATATTAGAAACATTCACATGTCCTGTGGATTGTGACATAAACATATTGGAAGGTCATTATCCAGCCAACTCTACACAGCATCACAAGATGTTCTAGTGATTATTATGAACCCAGCCCAAGTTCCACCGAAGCTTGATTACAGCAGCCCAGTATGTGTGGTTAACTCAGACTCAGCTGTCATTTCAGATCTCACTGATTTTATCTTCCACTCCATAATTTTGTTAAAGTGAAATTCTGTCTCATGTGACAGGTTCCAATTTCAGAAAGACTATTTTATTACACAAAATTCCCAAGTGGAAGAACATGACACCTCATTCCTGTAAGGATAAGGAATGGAGAGTAGTTCTGGATAAAGACTGCTGCCAGCTGAGATCGATCTTTCCTTCAATCAGTCCACCAAATTTTTATTAAACAACTGATATGCCAAGCAAAATATTATACTAGAGATGTTTTCTGATCTTCAGCGGCTGATGATCCAAAGAAGGGAAATGGGATGAAGCCCAATCTACAGTGCTGAGCCCCGGAGGTTTCCTCAAACATCTTTGTGTTACCTGCAAGAGGAGTTCAGTGAAGGGAGGAACTTGAGGGTTAGGGGGGAATGTCATGACTGCAGGGGACCCTTGGAAAGTGGACTTGGACCTCAAAAAATGAGTAGAGGCTTGCATTCCGTGAAAGGAAGGACATGCAAAAGGCCAGTGGTCAAAACAGTCCCAGGAAGGTGGGACACAGAATGGTGATGCTCTTGACTGAAGGGTAAGGCTTCCATTGAGCACCACGGGGAAGATTTGGCTAGATGGTGGAGGAAGCTGAAAGAGGAGCATCAAGTGGTCTGGACGGGGGCAAAAGCTTATAACTGCTTTTAAGGTGGAGAGTGCAGAGGTGAAGCTGAAACCTTGCAGGATACAGTAGATTTGGGGGCAGATGTAGGGCATTGTGACAGGGCCTGCTGACACATGATGTTAAACCAACTCTAAGTTGCCCATGCCCTAAGGAAAGCGACTCTCATGCCCTGGACCTCCTCCTGCTTTAGTTTCTCCATCCTCTTTGATCTCCTCCTCTGTGAACTGTGTTCACTAAGATCTCACCTTATTTGGCCAGGTCTGATTCTTATGGTAGATTTTGACATGGCCCCTGTGTGGTTTACCTGCATCCTCAGGGGCTGTCTGCTTTTAGGAAAACAAAAAACCCTGCTGTACATCTTGGTAGACCTCCCAGATCATGCAAGGTGCCAGCATCTTCTGGATATGCTTTTGGGGAAATGCTCATATGGCTTTATCCATTTATTTGTCATGTGACAAAGAACTCTGAGCGTGTGCTCTATCTCAAGCCTGTGTCTGAGCTTGTGATAGAGACAGAGCCTCTCATAGAGTTTCCAGTCCACTGGGGGAGACAGACTTTAGTCAAAGGGAAGTGTTAATGCATGCAAATTGGAATTTAAGTAAGTTCTGTGCAGAGGCCCCTGATGGCACTGAATCTTGTCACAGAGGAGTCTGAGGTAGCCAAGAGAAGGTGGCTTGGGGAGGACTTTCTAGATCCCTCATGGCTTCACCTGCTCAAATGCTTCCCTGTTACCTCTCAGGGAGGCCTTTCCTCACCCTTTCCAATTAAGTCTTCTTAATTGTGTTCCTTCTGACCTAACAGCTGTATGTGTGCATGTGTGTGCATGTACACAGTTCTCATCGGACTGTGAGTTCCATGAGAATGAAAGTTTCACTTGTTTGTTTCAGCTTTGTTCCCAGTGCCCAGAACCATACTATACTTCTTGCTGGACGGAGAGACAGATTGCATGAATGAAGTGATAATGAGCTGAGATCTGTAGGAAAGCATGAGGCATACGGATGTAGAGGGTTAAGGCTGCAGGGAGGGATTTGGGATGAGGATATATTATGGCAAAAGAGCCGTGCCACAGGCCCGTGGCACATTTTGAGGAGTCCAAGCCATCATTAACTCATTCCTAACATATTGCTTATTTACTGCCACTGCCATGTGCCAAACACTGTTCCAGGCTCTGAGGGCAGAGAAATGAGACATAATTCCTGCAGTTAGAGCTTTTAAATGTGGGCAGAGGGATGCTGACAACAAGCAGTTGGCAGCAAGGGCACCGTGAAAATGCAGACAAGAATGTTTGACAAGTTCTAGAGGGTTCTGAGCAACAAACTCATCTGATCTGATTTCATTTTTTAAAGATGATGTTGGCCACTGGATGAGGTGTGACTGGAAGGTGGGAGAACAGTTGGCAGGTCTGCAGTGGTTTGAACAAGAGATAATGGTGGCTGAGACCCAGAAGATGAATGGACATGATGAAGGATGACTGGTTTTATGGTCAGCTCTGAAGCAGAACTTACAGGCATTTGGGCCAGCTAGGAGTCTGATACAGAGCTTAGGGTTTTGCCTGAGGACTGAGTATGGAGGATTCCATTTTTGAAACTGGATATGGAGAGGTTAATTAGCAGGGATTTTAGGAAAGAGGAGGAGAAGTCAAAAGTTCTGTTTTGAATATGTTAATTTAGAGCTTCCTCAAACAGAGACATCCAATGGGAAATTAGAACTCATTTCCCAGGGAGTGGTGGTATCTGGTATCTATCAGTGTAGTGGTGGCATCCAAAGCCTTGAAGTGGTGAGGTCAGGAAGGTACTCAGACCTAAGGGAGAGAGTGGTGGATGACTGTGGTCTGGAGTAGCCAACATTTAGAGGCTAAAGAACATTTAGAGTAGGAATAAATCAAGCATGAGGAGAGGAAGGCCAATGAGCTAAAAAAAAAAAAAAAAGTGCTTTAACACTGGGAGGATGGAGACAGATAAGAAGGGAGGTGGTTCAAGAAATGGCAGGGCTGTGGGAATACTCTAATGCCAGGTGAGGAAAGCATTCCTGATTTTGATTCAAAATGGGATCATGCACAATCTGAAGATCTTAGAAACTCTAGTTATGAGACCCTGCTCCAGGTGGTTGAGCTATTTCTAAAATTTGCCCTCCTAAGTGTGCAGCTAAGTGCAGACAGGAGCCCAGAGGCAGCTGGTGTGTTCACCTGGCTTAGATGCCCCTTTTCCTGGGTGGTCTCTGGGCTGTATGCTGCTGGGTTGAGGGTGGACTTCAGGCCTCATCCAGGGTGCAAGCTACTCCACTTTCCTCAGTCTCCCACCATCTCCTCAAAGCTGCGATCCCACAGCTCTGGCAGTTGAGTGAGTCTCTCTAGTCCTTATTTCCCTCAAGTATGAATCAAGAGTTATCACAATATTTCTTAACTTACTGTGTTATGATAAGGATTAAATGAATTTACACCTGTTAAAGAGTCTGGTCTATACTAATTGTTAATTATGTTTGTAATGAAAGAATGTTGATTTGTGCTCATTTAGGGTATTTGAAAAACACACTCTGAAAACAGCAATTCCTATGCCCACTGGCCAGATGGCCTCAGATATAGGGCTCAACCACTACAGCTCTGGCGGTACAATGACCATGAGTGTCTTCATGGGCTGGATACAGACTTGGCTCCAAATAGGTGGGATGATGCCAGAAAAGCACTCAGTGCTGCAGCAGCCCACTGTCAATACTACTACTATTATCATTATCAGAGCTTTTCGAGAAAGCATCCATAGATACGTTACAGTCAGTTGATGACACTCTGTCATATAGTACCTTCTTACATGTGGTATCCACATCGCTTGCTTTGTTTCTTAGCTTTGCCTTTCTTCAATGGAAGCGTAAATTAGGTTATATTTGAAGGTGGCTGGATTTGGTGCTAATGAGCCCTTACCTGGACAGCCCTGTGTTTGGCCTCTTACTCCAGGCTTGCCTGATTTCTAGACATAATATGTAAGGGCAAATGCGTATTCAGATTGCAGCCACAGGACGGCCAGGGCTGCAGAAGATCACAGCTCCATCTTTCGAGGAGCGGGAGAAGATCTGCTTCTTAGAGATTTCTTCATGATTAATCCAGACCCCTGAGTCATGCGCCTCCCCTAGTCAGGATTTGCAGGCCTTGGAAGAAAACTCCGTGGCTTCCTGCGGAGGAATCTTTAACCATACAGCAGCCTGTTGATATGCGGCACTTTGGCCACTCGGTGGCACTCCAGCCCAACAATCCCGCTGTTCTTCTGCGTGTCCCTGAAAAATTGAAATTCAAAGTGAAAGCGCCGTGGGCACTTGTTCTTGCCGGATATTCTTGCCAACTGTCTCCCAAAGCAGACGGAGAGGTGTTGGCTGTGGTGGAGGCGACCTGGGCTCCGTCGCTGGTTTCCAATCTGTTTCCGCGCATTGCTTGGGTGCAACCTGCAGAGTGCGACCTTCAGGGCTCAGTTCTTGGAACACTGCAGTGAAGAGAGTGCACAAACCAAATGTGATTTCCCTCTTGGTAGATAAAAGAACACGAGCCTACACGAGACAAGAGAACTAGACTTTCTAGGAAAAAAAGATTTTTTTTTCCCCCCTGAAGATACCAGTTGGCTGTAAGACCCAAGCTTCTTTGGAGGAAAGGGTTTAATACCAGCCCTGTTTATTCTTGGAAACATTGTAGGACACAAACCTGAGTTTGCACACCAGCTTTACTCCTAGCTAAGTTTTGGAACCTCAAGGAAGCTGCGTAACTTCTTTTTACCTCCGTGTTCCCATCTTTCAAGGGAACCAAAGATAATAGGACCCACTTTTTTAGGCTTGTGGTACGCAGGAATGAATATTAAGCAAGCTCAAATGAAATTGTTGCTATGTGTTAGTGCTGAACTTTCAGAAATGGCTGTTATGTGTGATTGCTCCTAAAACAGTGTATCGGGCACACTATGAGCGATTTTACATTTGGAAGAATAAATTACTCTATCCGCTGAATTTTTTTCCCTGAAAATTCTTACTGATATATCATGTTCTAGTTTCTGCATGCTAAGTAATATTCCAAATAAGAAAGCATGTCTGAAAGAAATCTGTCCTTGTTTTAAGTGACAAAGTTTTGCTATATTGTCCAGGCTTGTTATATGCTCCTGGGCTCAAGTAATGCTCTCCAGTAGCTGAGAGCAGAGACACTGTGCCTGGCTTGGAAGTCTGGCTGGTTATCAGCTGTACCTTTGACCAAGTCAACCCACCAGAAGTCATTTTAAGGGAGATGTTAGTTCTACGAAGGGAGATAATCAAGGTTCATCCAGTGCTACATGAGTAAAGCTGAATTCCTTTTCCTGCAGTTTCCTGGCCCGTGAAGGTCTCCCTCTGCACCACTTGCCTCTCTGTGCTTAACTTAATATGAAATTTATCCTCTGGTTTTCTGACATATGCACACCAAAGTTTATCTGTTCTGCGTCCCCTACCTTCTTCAGGAAATACCAGCTAGTCATCGGCCCAAAGAAAGTTATTTTGGTAAATGTTTTCAAAGCCATGGCCAAAAGGACTGAGAATCTCATACACTTGACAGCATGCATGTGGGTATTTTGCTCAGAGGCTGTCCAGCCACAGCCTATCTGTGACCTTGGGCACCAGCCTCTACTGCTGCTGGTGTAGGAGGAAGCCAGGAAGCCTGGAAGGTGGAAATAGATAGCAATAGATGTGAGACCAACACATCCACTGATGTGAGAATGCACCCACCAGCAAGAAGACAGCAAAGGCCCAAAGGCCCTCCAAACCCAGACAGTGCAGATATTTTCTTCCCAGAATTTTTACCTTGAGCTCTTCTCATTTCTCTCCTTAAACAATACTTACTCTAGTAACCTCTGCGTGCTGTTTCTTGCCCTTCTATGCTTGTTCTATGAAAAAGAAAAGCTTGAGTTTCTCTTCTCGTGTCACACCTAGACTACCCTGTTGGATCTGGTTAGATGTCACAGAAGACATATCAGGAAGGCCATGTTTGCACACATACATCTAGTGTGGGAGATGATGTCTGAAATCCATGCACCAAGCATGAATTAAGGCCAACACAGCAGAGCGTACATTGTATGAGTCAGTGTGTACGGAGTTCAAGAGTAAAGCTGATGTGTAGCAATAGTAGTCAGCAGAGTGCTGGCTGGGCGTGAGGGCCCTGGCACAAAGGGGTGCAGAAGAATTTACTGTGGGGATGGAGATGCTCCATAGCTTTATTAGAGTATGAGTCCCACGGGTGTACACATTTGTCAAAACTCCAACTGTTCATTTAAGATAAACAAGAATAGCACTATGTTTCCTTGAAAGTAAGACCTCGCTGAAAAATAATCAGCCTTGAAAACTAAAGACCAAAAATGTCAGCCCCACTCAGGCTTTCCATGCCTTACAGAGTAGCCACCGAGCGAGAGAAAGGTGGTGGTGGATGAGGCAGGAGCAAGCTGGTCTTATTTTCAGGGAAAGGGGATAGTGAAAAATGTCCCTGAACACAGCCATCACAGTATGGGCAGGAGGGCCCCTGATGTCACAGAAGAGAGAATAAATTCCTCCCTGACTGTTTATGCAACTGAAAAACATATACAACGTCAGCCAATTTTCCAGACAGTTTCAAAATCCAGGGACATTTTTCTCTGTGCACACACTTGTCTGTGTCTTTTCAAATGTTTACGGAGTATTTACAAAAAGTAGTTCTTTGGGTGGCAGTTGTAATTAGGGAAACTGGCAGCAAAAATTAACACATACCATAAAAGAGGGATAATTACTCCACTGCCATATATAATATTATTATCAAATGGTATTCACCCTGGGATCCAGTTGGTCTGTACGCGTTAGACCTCGTTTTTACAGGGAAGACCCTCCCTTCCTCGTTACCCTGAGTATGAGCTGCCACGTTCCACAATGATGTGCCATATGGTACTTAACATCAGAATCAAAATGAGCTGTGCTTTTTGTGTGAGAAGCTGAAATTTATTAGAAAATCAGAAAGCTTAATTTCCACCAAGTTCCTGGGACTTGCCATCTGCTGCATGAAAAAGAAAAAGCGAATTTTTTTTAACCATTTACTTATTGTGAAATGCGAGCATGCGAGTGTGTGTGTTTGAAAGAGCGAGGCGGGGGCTGGGGCTGTGGAGAGAGCCAGAGCAAGCCCACTTGGCAGGGCAGAAAGAATTGTCAGCTGAATGGCGGCGAGGGCTGGGAAGCATAATTATGAAAATCATCTATTCCGAAGAGTTTTTTCTCCTCCTGACCACATGTCCTTCCATGCAGCTTACAGAGTCCAGCTTTTGCAAATAAGTGAGGTCCCCATTTCAGAAAGAACCGGGGTGTAATGAGGTGCTGGTTTCTCTGAGTATTAGGTTCCTCCACTGAGCAGAACTGTGAGCTAAGACCGGAAAGAACCAACAGGCGGGTTGGAAGCCTCCCTAGATAGACACCAGGGAGGTGCAGGAAAAAGGAAGCTTCATGGGATAGGGCTCTGAGCAAGGGAGGAACCTTTTAACAAGCTGGGCATGCTGAGATAAAGCCTGAAGGACCAGGATGTGTCCTCTTTCAGGTCTGTCCCCCACACAGGTAGCAAACCAGCAGGGCCCAGTCTGCCGGCACCCCAGTCTCTTCTGCTCCATGCTAGCAGGATGGCACTGCTGTTGTACTGGCACCTCAGGGAAATCCTGAGGGTTTCAGGCTGAATCCCCACGAGTTTGGCATCCCTTGGGGTGCCAGGCAACAAGTCTCATTTGCTCCAGGGCAGGAGAAATTTATGTTTTACTCCCGAGGTGACTGAGAGTTCACAGTCGGCACCTTGCTTGAAAACCTATGATTAGTTCCTAATTTCCCTCTGGACACCTAAAGTCTTTAAGACCAACTTCTGGAGGTGCCACAGATCCAACTGAACTACTGGATCAGGAGCTTAGGGGCTGCCACATCTCTTGGGTCTTACAGATAACCTGCTAGGCAACATGGTAAGCAACCATCAGCATCCTCAGTTCTGATGCCCACACTCAGCTTTCACTGATTGCACATTTACTGTTATGATGCGTATTCTCTAGGAAGCATAGCTGTGATCTTTGGGCAGTTACCGTGTGCTCTGTGCTTTTACACCTATTATAACTAAGAGGAAAGCACCACTCTCAAACCTGGCGATGATACTAAAAGATTTTCTTGTGTTCAGACTTGAGGTTTCACCGGAGTACTTATTTATCCAGCAAGTACTGAGTAAATGACTTACATAGCAGGCACTGTCTTGATTCCTTAATCAAAACATAGATAAATAACACTTACTTCTACTCCCAAGGAACTTGTGATTTGGCAGGAAAGAGGAATGCTGCCCATTGCAGAAATGCTGGGTGTGTCTGGGAAAGGGTGGCAGGTGGCAGGTGGCAGGGATGAGTCCAAGGCTGCAGAAGCCGGTGCCAAAGTGACCTAAGACGGCTCCAGAGTGCGGCCTGAATGTCAGGCTGCTGTACAATCCACGCAGCAGGTAGAACCAGAGAAAGATGGCAGGTGTGAAGACAGCACTGTGGTGGGAACTGCAAAGCAGCCGAGCAGGAAACACTCATTGTGAGGGAACCGTGTAGGTGTAGCATCCTCTTCAGAAAAGAGCTGTGTGAAATTAGCACCCCCCTATTCTGTTGGCACTGGGGTCTTTTTCTTTAAGAAATTCCTAGCTATGAAAATTGAAATGTATAAAATAAATCTTGAGCTTGATACTTGTGGGAAGAAAGGATTCTTCACTTTAAGAAAAACTCTTCTAAAAATTCACAAGACTTGGTGCTTTCAAAGAGAAGGGGCCACCGGCCCTTCATTTAGAAGCCCCGCATTCGACGGCCAGGGGAGATGGGCTGGTCTGCACTGAGCAGAGGCAACCCTGAGCCCTCCTATCTTTTCTGATAGAGGAAAGAAGAAAGCATGGACACCCGTCCACAGAGAAAGTTCATTCTATTAAGCCAGTTTTTATTATTTATGTATTTATTTGCTGTGCCAACAATGGAGTCCAAGGCCTCACATGTGCCAGGCAAGCACTCTACCAGCAAAGTATCCCTCTGGCCCATTTTTTTTGTTGTTGTTGTTGTTGTTGGCTTCCTCTCTATTTTCCTATGTACTTACTTCTTTACACATGAACCCAGACCTAGGTTCATTTATAAAGAAAAAAAATACATTGTTTATTGCTTTTTGGATCTGACTGGAAATGTGTCCTTTTTTTCTTTTCCATGTATAAATATCCACTTTGCCATGTCTTTAAACTCTGTTCTTATCTCTCAGCTTTCTTCTGAGAAAGGATTAATATGAGCTATAAGCTCCTTCTTTCATCTCCTCCAATAATAATCTGGTTGGGAATTTGGAAATTTAGAATACACGTGTTCTCTATGGAAACAGCCCAAGTGGTCCCCTGTGTCAAGTGGGAATAAACCCAGCTATTAAGGGAATAAGGAGCAACTAGGAAGAGCTCCGTGGTGGTGAACCTAGGCACACAGGCTACCACAGGCTGTTTGGTATCACTGAATGCTCTAAAAGGTTCAACATCACTGGAGTTTCCCTAAAGATGATGCGTTATTGCCAAAAGAATTTCATGTTTTGTTACACACATTTCCCCTTTTGTTTTGTGTTCTAGTATGGATTTATCAACACTTGTCTTAAGTCTCTCGTGACAGAGAAATTTGGTGAAGAGATGTGGGAAAGACTGAAGTAAGTATATTACAGGAAAGCTGAAGAGTCCTTGCAGTAACTGCCAAGCCTCTGAGGTTTTGAATGTTACAGCTTTTTACTGACCTCTTTGATCAAGGCAGTTAGCTAAATAGACTCATTATAGCATTATAATTTTATTCTTAAAGAGACTCAGTTACTAAGGAGATTAACTTACGTACCTTAAACATACCAACTAGATGCAGAAAAACTTAACTACCTTTAAGGAAAGCATCCGTTTCTATTCCTAAAAATCAACTTCAATCAGGGTCCCAATATAGATAATGTCAATGTGATTATTTTCATTTTTATCTCATGAATGAATTTTTCTTTTGTCTTTCTGATCATGGAAGAGAAAGCAACAGTGTTTTTCCCATTACACAGATGAAGTTACTGGTCACAGAGGGTGTATAAGGTTGGCCAGAATCTCTGCTTAGGCATTCTTTAATTTCTAATTTTTTCTTCCTACCTTCATACAATAGTCCCCTGATTCTTGCAGTCTTGTATAATCTGGCTGCTTTCTTGGAGGCTCTCAGCCTTAAAATGCTAGGGGTGGGGGCTGAAAGAATCTTAGAAATCACCTTGTATTAGGGAAGAGAGGAACACAAATATATGGGAAGATGATTGGCTTCCTTAGTTAATCAATGACATGCAAATTAAAGTAATTAGGTACTGCTTTGCCTATTACATCTCCAAAAAATTTGAATGATAATAACTAATTCTGGTTAAGTTGCAGCAAAATGGGTAATTGGTGATAGCATTGTAAATCTGTGCAGTCCTTCGGAAAGTAATTTGACAACATGCACCACAAGCTAGAGAAATGATCAGGTCCTTTGAAATAGTGAATTCATTCTTGAGAATCTATTCTCTTAGAAATATACACCCCTACACGCAGATACACACAATACAAACTCCGCAAAATATGTAATACAGCTTTATATGAATAAACAATAAAAAAACAGTAAGTCATCTGTGGTGAAAAATAAACCAGCAAACAAATGGAATGACAAAAAGAAATGTGCATTGTTCTATGTGGTTGACTGTGAAGCTTATAAAATGATCAATAAAATTTAATGATAATATTAATTTAAAATGCCCCCAAAACAACATTAATAACAAAAAACTCCAAACATTTACATAGTTATTAGGTAAATCACAGAAAAGGCCAACAGAAAAGCCATAATAACAACATAATTGAATTAGAAGGTTAAATCGCAAGATGTCTTTTTCTAGCATTTTAAAATAATTTTTTTATTTCCCGTTTGCTGTTTTCATTGCTTTTATAATATAAAACAACTTAAAATTCTTAGTGCAAAATTTCTCTCTCCCTCCAACTCTCACTTTTCAAGTAAAATAGAACCAAGAATGCATGTAGCAGAGCCAGACCTGTCCACCCTTGGGCCCCTCACACCCCACTGCAAACCACTGCCATCCGTGGGGTGGCCCTGATCCCGCACTTCGGGGAAAGGCAGCTCAGGTTTATCTTCTCAGTATCTCTGGAGTAATTCATTTAAGGTTTTGCAAATTTGCATGGGAAAAAGTAGCTCTAGCCTCATGGACACAATGAATACTCATTTATAAAAATGTCACTGAATAATTGTGATAGAGGAACTTTAAACTGATGTACTCCTGAGAGATCATTTAGACCTTAGCTCTTCATTTTACAAGTGAGAAAACTGAGGCCCAGAGAAGCTGAGTGATTTGCCTGAAACTGCACTGCCCCAGGACTAAGATGCTACTGTCACTGTTGTAAGTGCTCCTTACCCGCTGGCCACGTTGCTTGAGGAGAGAAGCACTTGACAACTGGGACGTTTACAGTGGTCGTTATGTTGTAACTGGTAACCTCAGAAAGACTAGAGGAAAGAAAGAACTGTGTTCTTACACAAAGCCCTGTGCTTTGGGCCAGGCACTCTGATTAAACCCAATAAGAACACTGGAGCTCTTGTTTCCTTCTGAAAAGGAGGTTGTTGGTGGAGGCAGTAAGGTACAACAGGACCCGGACTCACACCCATGTCTGTGGCTGTGAAGACTCCTCTTTCCATGGGCCACTCTGCCTTTGGAGAGGAAGTGAGACTGAAATGTAAAATGCATTTCCTTTTCTGCCAAGTCGCTGGGTGCAGGAAAGGGCATCCATTTGCATATGTGTGTATTGAGCACCTACAGGCAGCTTGATACTGTGAAAAGTACAGGAGGCTAAAGAATCAAGCCTTTGCCAGCATGGTTCTGTAGTCTGCAGAAGCTTTACGTATTCACCCAGAACACAGGAATGTGTGTGCTGAAGGCCCATGTCGGATGGGACAGTGGGCTCTTTTGTTCTGCTATAAACTGGACAAGGGCACGTCAAGCTAAATCCCTGTGCCCTCTACCTGCCACAGAAATGGAGCGATCAGTCTTAGTAGGGGGAGGAAGGAGAGATGGTGAGTTAGTTCAGACAGGCTGAAAGGTGAGCATTGCAAGATATGGTAGGAGCCACCTTGTATTCTCAGAAGTCACTGCACAGGATTGCAAGCCCCTAAGAAACTGGTTGGACTCAGTAGAGACTTTAGAGCTCCAGTGGCTGGGGATGGCCAGAGCCCAGAAGCATCACTTGACAGTGTCTATGACCCTGGGCATGATACTTAACCACTTCATAGCCCAGCAGTTTCATCATTAAGCAATAACAAAGGTACTAGCTATGCTCACAGAGGGTGTACAAATGTTAAATGAGATAATACAAACCAACACAGAAAAAAAATACCTGGCCCACGATGAGCAGTTGAGAGGTCAGCTGCTATCATTAACACTGGTGTTTGCTACTGGCTCATTTTCAAGATACAGATGCCCAGATGTGCAGGGAAAAATACAGAGGTACAATTTGTCATTTCACTGGACAGGAGTCAAACCCAGTTCTGCTGCTAATAGCAGAGCTAGTGTTATTGAGCAGGTTGCTTCGCTTCTCTGAAGCTCTGATTCCTCATGGATAAAAGGAGAATAAATGTACCTGTCTTCTAGGGCTGAGGACAGGAATAGTAGAACAATTTTCCCCAAAGCACATAATTGGAACTCAGTAGCATTGCTACCCCACTTCTCCAGTATAAAGGTGTCGCATTAGCATCAGACTGTATTGACATTAATAGAAACCTCTGCTTCTGGGTAAGCAATTGTGCCTTCCATCCTGAAAAAAAACCTGAAGAGACCTGGCCACCTAAGTTTAGTACTTGATAGACAGCTGTGTCTCTGCTCCTCTTTTCAAACTGATCTCCCTGACACCCAGTGTGGGCCACCAGCGAGCCTTTCCTTGAGCACTCTTTGTAATTGCTAGGGAGCATCCTGTGAGAGGGGAGCACTGATTTTATTGATTAATTTTCTTGACTCATAAAATTTGTGCCATCTAATTTTCTGTTATGACCTTTAGCCTCAGCTCAGCTGTTGCTCAGATTCAGTCCTGCATAGGAAGATGGTGAGGGGTCTGGAAATAGCTGGAAATAACCAGAAATAGCTAGCACATGTTGCAACAACATGCTCAGGGTTGTCTCAGACAAGCAGCTGCAAGATGTTGCTAAGGAAGCCAAGGCCTCTGTCCTCTCCTGTGTAACAGAGCACGTACAGAATGGCAAGCTACTGGAACCCTCTGTTGGTTGATATTCAGCACATCATTGCAAACCAGGCTTCCATGTTTAAGTACATGGGACAGACTTTTTCTCTAGGGGTGGTTGGTATGACCTCAATGAATATAGGGAACGTTAGTTCTTCCCACCCATGGAGGACAGTTTCTCTAGCATCCCCAAACAGACAGGGTGCCTGGCATCCACATGAACTCCACCGTGATAAAGGACATTTAAGTGAGGGGGTCAGGCTTGCAGTGGAAGCAAACAAACAAGACTGGGAGTCTCTAGAGAACTCAGCAGGCCCATTTCCCGAGTCTTCGCTAGTGGATTTTATCTCTTTAGCTTTCAAGTATTTGCTTAATTGAATCTGGGACGTTGTGTTCATATAGTGAACATGAGTCACCTTTGTGACTGCTTTATAAATACATTGTTAAGCCAAAAGTCAACTCTAGCCAGTAAGTCCAAACAGATATTAAAACTGCATCATGTTAGAATCTGCTTCTAAGAAGCCTGAAGTACCAAAAACTCTACTTATAAAACACAAATTAAGGCACGATTATTTGCAGGGGAAAAGGATTTACTTCGGGCTACATTTTAATAGCAAGTTCCCTAGTGCTTTTAAAATTGAATTTTTACTGGAAAGAAAATAAAAGCCCACCAATTCCTATACAAACTTTAAGAAGAAATGATTAAGTGAAATGAACTATGTCTTCAGACCTTATGACATAGATTTTATTTTATGTGAAATAATCGGATACAGATGTTTCTCCTCTTTTATCTGCTTTATTGATTTCCTCTTTTTATGTCTAAATTTATAGATTTCTAATTATGAACCACTATTTTATAACCTTGTGGCTATAGCTTTTATCAAAACTTAAATATGAGATGCCACTAATAGATTGGGGAGAGTCAAGTCTTTGGAATCATTCTGCTGGGATCACTAGCTATTTTGAAGTTGGCATATTTATTCAGTAAATGGTTATTTAGCTCATAGCTTGTGTTGAGCAGTGATCCAGGCACTGGGGGTAACAATGAATGAAAAAGCTTACAGGAGTGTCTCTTGGAATGTGTTTTACAGAGTATAAACAAGTAGATGAGTAAACCAAAATCTTTTAGATTGTGCGAAGTGCTATAACCATAGAGTACTTGACAGTGATTTAGAAGGAGATTTCAGTTTCCCTGAGGTAATATGGAACAACAGGCAAGGAGGGAGCCACCCTGGAATCAGGAAAGTAGGAGCATCCCAGGGAGAAGTCACAGCAGGTGCAAGGGTCCTTAGGTGGGTCTGTGCTTGGTGAAGCTGAAGGCCAGAAAACAACCCACCATTACTGAAGTGTCCTAAATGAAATGTCTCATGAGAGATGAAAACAGACAAGCTATTCGGGATCAGAATGTCCACATGTGTAGCAGAGGAGA